ACAGCTTTTTTCAACTATTATCAATACACAAGTAGAGACAGAGGACAGCCCACCTCCAACACGCATGAATGTTTAGGGCAAAGGCCCTTCACACTTACATGCTAAGTGCCCATCGACACAGATGTTTGCTTGGAAGCAGTGGGAGAGATGATGCCTCAACACAGTGGCATGACATGATTCACAAAAGAGATAGTAAAGTCAAGGATGTTCTGAAGCTAAGTTCTTAATGATGTTGTAGACCCATTAATGAAGTTTTCTTGGCAACAGTAAGAAGTCTTCGTCTGGAACTTTGACTTCAACACAGTTGCATGACATGATTCACAAAAGAGATAGTAAAGTCAAGGATGTTCTGAAGCTAAGTTCTTAATGATGTTGTAGACCCATTAATGAAGTTTTCTTGGCAACAGTAAGAAGTCTTCGTCTGGAACTTTGACTTCCCAGTCTAGCCTACAACTAAGAATTCCTTGGTGATCTCCCATACCAATTAATCAAGTCTAATCAGGCCCAATCCTGCATAGTTTCCGAGACTGACTAAAACTGGCCAGTTTTAACAGAGGATTGGCGGTGCACTGAAGACTTGGCACACGTGTTTTCAAAAGATCTCCTGCAAGGTATATTACTGCTACAAATCTCCCATTCCGCTGCCCATTTCCCATCTGTTGGATTAGTGTCTTAGGAAAAACAACTTGCTATTCACATTTACCCAAAGCCAGCTTTGACTTCAAAAATAATTAGCTGATCTTATGACTGTAGAGACAAATGAGGTATCAGATGAAGACACAGGCCACGCCACACTGGAGGCGTTTGCCCCAGAACATGTAAATGAAATAGAGGACAAAGAAAAAGGCTGAGATAAACACACACTACTTTATCTGAAAACTCTCTGGCTGCTGGTATGATAATTCTGGTTTCTACTGAATGAAAGGAATTCTTAGCTCTCTTCAGAGGCATTTATGTATAACAGGAATATTGAAGAGCTGTCAGAATGTAATGGCCAAAGAAATCAAATGGACCAGAGACCAGGAAGGGGCTATAGCAGTGTTTTTCAACCGTGGCAACTTTTAAATTTGTGGACTTCCACTCCCCCAAATCCCCCACCACACCGCCGGGGGGGTTTCGTGGGTTTGGTTCTGCGACCTTTATAATTTTACACA